TAGTAAATGGTTTCTGAGTAATTTCATGATTTGAATTCGAGGCTTGGTTCAAGAGGTGATGCTTCATTTATTCATCTTGCAGCGTTCCAGGCTGATTAGTGACCAAGGAAATTGCCAAGGGGACCAAGCCCCTTGCAGGCCGACAGAGGCCTATTGACGTGGCATGTGCGAAGTCCAGTAGATTTCTCCCTTTTTTTTTTTTGTTAAATTTATTATTTTGCCTCATAATTTTATCAAGGCCCAACCCTTATTTACACATTTTATATTATTATTTTTTTAATTTTTTATCAATATTTTTGAATATTTTTATTCTTAATCAATATCTTTCACAATTTATAATGGTTAAACTCCTTATTTAATTAATGACTAGGGAGTTTAACTAGCCCTCGGTTAAACTAGCGAATGCGATACTGCCTCCATCATACCAACCCCCCTTGGGACCCTGATAAAGAAAATATGAAGCAGAAGACATAAAGAGAGAGCTCAAAATAAAGAAATTAAACAGATATATTCAGTACAAGTTAAACACATACGAAGATCCATTAGGGTTACATCAAGAGCACAAGCATAGAGAGAAATAAAGAGACAGATATGCATTTCCCAAGAGAGACAATCATCGTTACAATGTGGGCTAAGTGTCACTCACAAATAATTAGCAATAATAATGCCAGAGCCAAATTCAATTTAAGCTCTCTTGAAAACCAATGGATACTATTTTGTGAAGTCCCTCTTGTATCCAATACCCTTCCACATTCCATTCAAGGAGGATTAATTGCTGAGTAATTTCATGATTTGAATTCATCTTCTTGCTTCATGGTAAATAGAGGTACGTTATTCAAAGTTGTGTAACTAATTGCTGCAATTTGCTGCTCGTTTATTTCACTTCTGACTACCTCATATATTGAGTTATGTAAGACAAGACAAGCATTGTTTGAAATCCAAAAATAGATAAATAAATAGATAAATACATGAACAATGTCCATCTGGAACAAATAACTTGTAAAAGAGCATGCAGGTAATTGTGTCCCGCCAAAGCTAATCTCTGTCTTTATACCCAGGGCCAAGGAAGCCATTGCAGCTACCATCAAAATAACCAGAGTAAGGTCTTGGCAAACAAACCTCTGTAAAACAACAAAAAAAAAAAAGTTAAAATCAGCACATTTTACACACTAAAAAATATTAATAAAGGTTTACTAGAAAAAAGAATATTAAAAAGAGAAAGTAAATAACAAATTCTGAAATTGAAGCATTAATTGATATTTACCCAGAACCCAGAAGCTCCTACCTTTTTTCTAAGGATAAGTATTTGAGCCAAATAAATTCCTCTGACTTAGCAAATCAGCATCGTCTCCATTAACCCCTTTATCTAAATTTGTCTTTAGCATACCAGATAACCCATTAACCTAATAACGGGACA